TAAAAAGAATTTAATATAGGGCTATATTTAAATATTTCCTGGTCCAGGCAGAGGATGAAAGATTGCCATATTTTTCCCTTTATGTGTATAACAAATGGAAACAGTGCTTGCGACCGTGACCCAAACCTGGTCCTCCTTTCTGCCCGCATCACCAGGCTCGAGAACTTCCCTCCATCTGGCTCTGTCAAGGTTCCAGCTCTGTCTTCCAAAGTGACAGAGCTGCAATAGTAGGAATTTGGATGGACGTCTCTCTCCAGCCCACCTCAAAACAGACTGCTGATTAAGAACTTTGGCCTAGACCCCATTCATGCTGAGAAAGGCCTTTTATCTGGGTTTCCTATACCTTTGGCAAATGTTTCAGGAGCTGAAACTAACAAAGGCCAAGTCCCTGCCTCCTCTGACTCGACCACCTTTTAAAAGGATATTTATGTGTGCGATCTCTTTGTTCTGCAGTTCAACCTCAGTAATTTCTCATCCACAATGTTCTAAATTTTTAGCTAGAAATTATAAAAATTGCAAATGTGGACTCTTCTGCAGGCTGTTTGTTAGCCTACGGGATTCCCTTCCACACTAGGTGAAGTGATTAATTTACCACAGGCAGAATCGAAAAAGTGGTGTAAGTTAAAAAATACAATCACTTTTTTCTCCTCGTCAGAAATTTAGCCCAAGGAAATAAGAAATATTAATGACGTTTCTGACTGTGTCTTCCAGTAACTTGATATTTGAGCAACACACTTCTTCAGCTCCTTTTTATGCCAACTTGCTTTGCTTCCTTTCCAGTCACTAAGGGTGTATTTAATAAGCTTAAACATAAATCACTCACACATATGAGGTAATTATTTATGAAAAATCTGCATATTTTCTTTTGCTCTGGATTAAGGTGATTTGGAAAAAGATTTCTTATCAATTGCCACTGCATTCATCTGGAATTATTACTATTAATAGTTGACTGTTTGAGTCTGCTCAATATCCCCAGGCAAAATTTCTACTGATTTCAATAGATCTTGTCAGAATCAGGCCCTTTAATCTTTCATTTGTAGCAAATGACAAGCTGCAAATAAGGGGGGAAAAAGCCCCTATTTGTGACATGCTGAGAAATTAATTGATACCTTCAGTAAATGGCATTAATGACTGAGTATGGGGAGGGATGTGAGGCTGATGGATACTGATATGAATGTCTATATAACATCAGTTGCCATTTACATGCCCAAGGACAACTTCTGGAATTGCTTATGGGAAGGGGAAGAGGAATAGAATAAAATAAAGAGAAGATCATAACAGCCTCACAACAGTGTAAAGATTTAACACTGTAGTATAATATCTGTTGCATCAAAGTTCCTGTATGGCCATTTTCTCTTATTTAAATAATTTATTCATTTTACTATTTCTTCATACATGTTTTTATTTTTCATTCATTTTCATTTAATATCAACTTGCAACTCTTAGATACCATTGCGATGAGGTGGTTTTGGGAAGTCGGCTTGAGCTCTAGAGTGTGAGGAAAATCTTGAATGTGATTATTATCATTTTATACCACTGAAAAGTAGGTAGGCCCTTACAAAACTCAGTCTCCTATTTACAGCTCCAGCATGGCTACCCACATTAGCCATGAATCTAACCTTAATGTACTGATACAACCAGCCTGACAAAGCATCTAGTCTAAACTGCAGACGTGCTTAAACTACAGAGTTATCGGAGGGAATCTCAGGAGACCATGCAGTCCTCCTCTGCCAAGGGCAGATACCGTTAGCCCTCTGTCCTTCCTGGCAGTTGTTGAATTATCTTCTTCTAGCTGAAACATTTCTAGTGATAAAAAATCCACAGTTTACTTTTGAAATAGGTACGATGGTAATAATAAGGGAAGAATAAAAAGGGTAAGGACAATATAGTAAGACTGTAACACAGTTCATGTTTAACAGTCATAATGATTTGACTAACAGGAAAAATAAGGAAGACAAGGAGTCATTTAAGTGCTCCTTGTGGCTTCTTGTGCTGATAGTGACACCCTGCCTGGCCCTTGCACCTCTCCAGAGGGACATACGTCTTATGTCATGTCTGTTAGTCCTGTGTGGGTGCCTCACATACCCAGGGATCCTACCAATGCACCATAAGCTTATGTGTAGACAACTGAACTGAAGCCCAGCCAGCTGCTTTATCTGTGAGCTGAATCAGTACCTAGGCTTCACTGACTTCATTGCCTGGCTCTCCTTCGACCATAATGGCAGCCTTGACTGCTGGCTGACACGGACACCTATATATAGTCATCTCCATTTGTATATCTCACTCTGTAGATGACTTCCTGAGCTTTGGCAAACAAGTGTAGAGATGACGTATCATGACAAGAAAAAGCACACATTCTTGTGCCGCTGAACGGGTTTCCTGTGTCACACACATGCACTCACATTTGCATACATCAAACCCTCATTAATAGGTCTTGTTATGCATTAAGATTCTTCTTTCTTATTCTTACAAAAATCACATCTTTTTGAAGTCGTCTGCCTTGTTATGATTTTCAGCAAATGAGGAGACATGCAGCCAGGTGACAGAGGTCTCATCTGTCTTTAATGGAATCAGCACTTCAACCGGTTTAAATGAGTCATTAAGAACTAAACAGCTGAGGTTTTTTTCAGTTGCAGACTGTGTTCACTAACTGTGCTGAATTAGATGCTCACTTAATAGGGGATTCCCACATCATCAGATAGGCAGGTCCTGCAGGTGCAAGACTGCATGATAAATGTTGCATGTAAAAATGTAATTATAATACTAAAATATGATACTACTTGAGACTTGTCTGTCTTTCTTCCTTTCCTGGCAATTGACTGGTTTTCCCTTTTTTTTTTTTTCTATATTATTCTATGAAGTTATCAGTTGTAACGTATTTATAGCGGGTCTGAATGGACTTAAAGTGCTGCCTTTTGCTTTACTTCGCCTCAGTCAAACTGCTATGATGTTATAAATGCTTCTTTTACTTTGAAAATGTAAAAGCAAATGGCAATTAGAATATGAATCAATTTAATGGCACTATTAGAAAAACCAAAGAATCTGTGTTTTATAATATCTTTCTCTCTTTGCATTTTGTCTAACCAGGGAACACAGAGAGAAGCTTAAGGAAGCCCACTAACAGTTTAACATGCACTGATTTATGCCATTGAGTCCTTGCTACTTGTTGATGAACTTTGATGTTTCCTAGTTTCACTCTATATAAAAAAAAATAGTGCAGTAAAATCGAATCTCTCATTCTTTCCCTTGAGGAGGAAACGTGTAAAAAATGAGTATTTTGGTGGATTTTAGGATGTACAATTTCAGTTGCAACCATATGAAAAATACCCAATGTTCGCTTGTGTGGGTCTGCAGAGGGGTTGGAGAGAAGGGGACAAGGAAAGAGGAGAGTTACATATGAATGTTGACATTTTAGAAGCCTGACTTTAGTCTTGAATTTCCTTCTGAAACTTGGGCAGCTAGGCATTCACTCTGAAAGCCAGCAATGGTATTAGCTGGAGACTTAGCCAAAGCTTCAAACACAGTCAGCTCCTACTGATGGGTTCAGGATATTTCAGGGTGAATCAGCTTACTTTGGCCCTGTGCCCAGAGCAGAATTTACCCTCGCTGGCACGCTTAAAGCTTCAGCTGACTTCTGCAAAAGCTTTGGGTACAAGTGTGTAGGTTTCCTTTGCCAATCTAGGATTTGTAAAGACTTGTCTGAGGTTGACTACAAAGCTTCATTCTTCCGAGGCAAAATCTTGAATAATAACCTGGAGTCCCATTCATTTGACCAGTACTCAATTCCTGAGGCACAGTCAGTGTTCACATTTGCTCCTATGTCCTACTTGAAGTTCTCACTTCCCCAGTGGGTTTAGTGTATCCCAACTCCTTTGATTAGTGCAGCCTCCATCACAGGTTGCCAGAGAGAAAGAAAAGAGAAAAATGGAAATAAATACCCCAGGCCAAATTTTGCTATCTTCTAATGAACCAGTTTTACAAATCATTATCCTACTCCCCAGTAATGACAGGTCTTCATTTTAATGTTCTGTCATCACAGCCTTTACTGATTGAGTGTTAATACCGTACTTATTATTTCAATGATTCTCCATCATAAAAACACTTCCCTGACTCAACTTGTAATACTGTCCACTCCTAGACACTTGCAGCTCTGTCCTCAAATTATTGTGGTCCCTGATCCTGTGCACTGATTGTCTCCTCTGAGTGCCAAGCCAGCAGAATACATTGGGCAAGATTACAGCTTATCTTGGGCTCACTTGTTTTGGTTGCCTAGGAACTGCAAAAGTTTTGGCAACTCAGGTATTTCTGCTCACTAGAAAAGGATCTTCTAAAATAATGATCCAATCACTCTGTAATATGTTGTTTTAGTCTATAAAGAGACTGTTAATATGTATTTAAGTAATGAAATTCAGTATTTGCTCCTAGGGCAAAAAATGTCTCTAGCTGGATGCCAAATAAATGTCATTTCTCCACAGTACAAGCCTAATGCAAGACACCTTCTTTGATATCTTTGGCTTGCAGATGCTTGATCAGCTCCTATAGATGTTGGAAATGCTTCAGTGTGACAGTGGAAACTTTAGGTGGGAAGGCATTATCAGTGGGAGGAAAGAGGTTTTTCATTTATTTCCAGTATAAAAAGGGGGTAGAAAGGATGCCCTGGAAAAATAGAGTCTAAAATGGGTTATTCATTATCTCAGCTGGCGTTTCTGAATCCTTGGCCTAGCTTCCAGCCTAACTCTGAAACCTTTCTCACCATCAGCAAGGATGCCTCTGACTAGCATAACACCAAAATCACTATAACCTTTTTTACTGAAAACGTAAAGTTACTTTATTTCAAAAGTTAAATAAATCAAGACTGTACTAATCACAAGCAGGAAACATCCAGCAACAAGTTTTCAAAATTTTTTTCAGTACTTTTTTCAACCACTTCCACATTCATCTTAAAATTATGAAAACATAACTGCAAATCTTTGCTTTCTCTTTGATATATTTACATATAGGAACATCATTGTCTCAGAATAAAGATCCTGGGGGACTGTTACTACTGTGTGTCGGGGCTCCCAGAACCTCGCCAGGACCATGCACACTGCTGTGTTGAAATGGGGCTCAGCATGATCAAAACTATCAGGTAATGCTTTTTTTTTCCTTCTTCTTCTTGTTTCATTGTTTCTGACAGTGTCCTGAACTTCTTATCTGAGAATGCTATTACTGGACAAGTAATTCCCGTGGTGGTTCAGAGACCTCAGGATTATCACTGTGAAAAGGGCAGGACTTTTTTGATCCATGCAATGCATGGGAACAGGTACTAAATGCATTTTATTAACCTGTGCTGTTTCAGAGCATGTAACACGATAGCTGTGTGTGCACTGCGAGTGATAGGTTTCATAGATCTTAACAGTTCTCATTTTGTAGTGTTGTCATTTTTAAGGGGAGGCTGATGAGGAGACTGAATTGCTTCCCATAATCCCTTTAATAAAATAAAACAACAATATAAACACTAAATAGACAGCTGTTGCAATACTTTAGCTTGGAAACTAGCTCACAGACAAACTCATAAGCACTAAGATTTGCCAGATGAGCAAATTTTACTTGTTAAATTAGGTTGGTGCTTAAATCCACAAGGGCTGGAAGTGTTTTAATTAAGGGATGTGTTCCCATCATGTAAATACAGTTGTTTTGCTGGTAGACTATTGTATTTTGATGCAATCAGGATTAACAATAATGATGTTTCAGCAGTCCATGTATAGAGCTTGTCCAATGATTTACTGTTACAGTGGCTAACAACGAATGCTCCAAGAGAGGATTTCTCCATCTTTTTTATCCTCTGTATCAATGTTGCTGAGTTCCCCTTCTCCAAATCCTTTTTCTGTTGCTGTCTTCCCTAAAACAGTATAGCCGAGCACTCTCCTCTTTCTGTGGATGTTTTGCTGTCCAATCTCTTTGCTTCTTTTCCAGACTACTTTCCTCCTTTAATCTGAGTGTGCCTCATCACATACGTCAGACAGTTACTGCATACTGCAGCTACATTACAGAGATCTTAATAGAGAAAGAATTTGACAAAAATTAATTAATGGAAAATATAACTGAATAATGATTATGCAACAATGATCTCTAAGAAGATTGGATTCAGTTATCACAGACTAAATGTTGCACAAACTAATCAATATTTTGCTTCTGGAATCCCCACAGTGAAAACATTAATTAGAGAATATACACAGATGAAAAAAGCCACCAGAATTGTTAAAAATTCTTGGAGACACACATCAAATCATTTGCATTTGCTTGGTAATACCATCTGCAGCAAACCCATTGTAAGTCATTTTTCTTCTAAGACAATAAATTTCTCTGAATCTCCTTACACATGTGGAAGTCTTTAAAACCCCAGTGCCCGTTTATGAACCTGGTCTCAAAGGCAGTCATCCAGTAGTTTTAGCACTTTAAATGACAGTTATATTCAGTGGGAGCTGAGAAACCAAAGTCCATTAGGATGACTTTGGTCATCCCAGGCTAATTCAGCTCAGATTGGCTCCAATTTTTTTTATAATCCCAGTATCTGAATTTCTGGCCATTCAATGAGCACGATTTTTTCCCCAGGCTTTTCTGTTCAGAGTACAGGAGCCTTATGTTACTTATCTTAATGTGTGCTCATATAGTTCCCAGGGAGGACCAATCCTTCCATGGAATATTACAAATACTTCAGTCTACATTTCTGAGAGAATTTGGACTTCTTTACAGCCTGTTAATTAGAACTTAAATTAGTAAATATCTCTCACAATTAAAAAGGAAAAAAAATTCTTTAGAAAACTGAGTTTCTACTATATTGGTCACTGCAGAATTCGATCAGATCTAAAACCTGCTAGAAATGGCATTTTGATGATTATAAAATTTTTTATCTTCACCTGCAAATTTCACAAAATAAATATTTTGTATGTCCAAAATAATAGGGAGATGATCCAAGATATGAGAAACCATCATTTAGACTTCACAATTACATTGAAGTCATACAGACAAACTCAAAGCCTTCTTGCAAATCAGAAGATGTTTTCAGGAAGTTTCCAAAAATTTCACTACTCATAAAGCCTACATGGACAGTTGTTTCTTCTCCCTCCTGCAGAGCTACATCTTAGCTTTTAAATCTTAGTTATATTTTAGCTCAAGCACTTAGCTTAGCTTAAGAATTAGACATTAAAACAAAAACCAGTATTTATGCTACAACATCCCACCTATAATTGGAATTTAGGCACCTAGATCATGGAGAGCAATCCAGGTACTTTTACAACTCCTGACTCTTGTACCAGTTTAAATTCTTTATGCAATTAATGTAGAAGGAAGTGTGACATTAGGCAGACCAGATTTTCCCCTGCAGGTCCTCCAAGATTCCTGTTCTCTCCATTGACAACAGGCAGTTGGTAACATTGCAAGGATCAGTACCAACACTTCTGGTGAGGAAGTGCCCAAAAATCTACCATCTCAGGGTACCATTACTGAATTTTCCTTCTATTTTTTATTGAACAAGAATTTCAAATCTATTCATTACACAACATGTAAAATAAATCTACATCGACAGATTGAACCACAAGGGACTTCTGAGTGTTTTAATACAACTCATATCCATACAGCTGAAATGTTAAATTATTGTTAACTGAGACTCTACAATTTGATCTTAAGCTCATATACCAAGGATCTAGACTTGAGTCTTGCTGCTCCACTTTGCAGATGTAAGGAACTGTTCAGAACACAACAAAACAATCCAAGATCATTATTTTTTCTGTAACAATTTTTTGCATCACTGTGTCTTGTTACAAATCTTAGAAAAGCTGTTATTGTTATTCTATTCTGTCTTAGAATCACTAAGGTTGGAAAAGACCTCTAAGATCATTGAGTCCAACCGTCAACCCAACACCATCATGCCCACTAAACCGTGTCCCTAAGCGCCTCATCTACACGTCTTTTAAATACCTCCAGGGATGGTGACTCAACCACTTCCCTGGGCAGCCTGGTCCAATGCTTCACAACCCTTTCGGTGAAGAAATTTTTCCTAATATCCAATCTAAACCTCCCCTGGAGCAACTTGAGGCCATTTCCTCTCGTCCTATTGCTAGTTACTTGGGAGAAGAGAACAACACCCACCTCGCTACAACCTCCTTTCAGGTAGTTGTAGAGAGCAATGAGGTCTCCCCTCAGCCTCCTTTTCTCCAGGCTAAACAACCCCAGCTCCCTCAGCCGCTCCTCATAAGACAGACCCCTCACCAGCTTCGTTGCCCTTCTCTGGACACGCTCCAACACCTCAATGTCTTTCTTGTAGTGAGGGGCCCAAAACTGAACACAGTATTCGAGGTGCAGCCTCACCAGTGCCGAGTACAGGGGCACTATCACTTCCCTACTCCTGCTGGCCACACTAGTTCTGATACAGGCCAGGATGCCATTGGCCTTCTTGGCC